TATGTAATTTCAGAAAACAGTGCTCTCTAATTTCATTTCATTTTAAAGCTTAGGAGTTTTAAAATGAAATGAAATTGCATATTGTTGTTTCTGACTAAAATGAATACATGGATTAATCTAATGCATGGATTATCTTTGTTAATCCATGCATTAGATGCAATCAAAGTCCCCCTTTACATATTAAATGTTAATCAGAATTACTGAAGGCAATTGCATTCAGTGAGTTGAGCTTTGGTCTACAGCAGGCAGAGACGTCAGCTTTAAATATGACTTTAAAGTCTTTGCTGATCTTTTAAACTTTTGATATTCACTGTAGCCACTTAACAACAAATACTGAGGAGGATATATCTTTTCTGAGCTGAGCAGGGTGGTAATAATTACAGTAAAGGGGAACACAATAATTACACTTGTCATATTAATCACATTGATATAAAACCAGCCTACCTAATCAGTAGGTTGCTGTTAAAAAGGGCCAAGTTTCTGTCTGTAGAGTATTATATACACTTAAGTTTCACCTAGTTAAGTTTTGAAATCTCATCACATCATATCCCCAGAAATTGTCATGTTGAATTTACAAAGTATTTCATGTGGAGAGAGTGTTTTATGAGGTGATATTACATGCTGTGTAGCTTCTATTGGAGCAGCTGATTTGTCTTTTTCCACTAATATCCCATTATAGTAGTGATGTGTGCACTGCGTTTGATAATGAGAGTGAGTAGACTACCATCTGGATATCAGCGCCTGCAATTATTCATCATGAGCAAGGAGAAGTTTCTCTAAACCACACCCTCATTTCTTAATCGTAATCTTTGCCTCCGGTGCTGAATCACCTCCAGCTACTCATCCCACGGTCTGTTGCAATCTAATCTGCTGTGACTTGACTAACAGCCACCCTGTTAGACAGTTCTTTCCACTTATATTTACTCTGCTATGTTAAAAAAAATATCTGTGTTTATTCTATTAAAGTGATTTAATTGAGAGCTCAAGAATCTAAATATAGGTTTGATAAATGGACTTAACTCTTAATTGCCCCTTGGAGATAAATAAAGTCTTTCTGATTCTGATTAAGTATACATTTTTTAATGTTTTTATCTCTCTGTGGCAATGTGAAGCAACTTTGCAGTCCCCCAAATTTAGATCTTCACCTTTTCCAGTCTAACATTCAGTGCGAGTGCAAAGCGGCATAGTCTAATGGCAGGGAGTTCAGGGAGTTCAAAAGTATGCACCACAAGCTGGCAAAAGCTTTCCAGCCCCAGGTCAGTCATAATTCTAAACCTTAGGAGAGTAAGAGGGTGTCTCATAAAAAGAAAAATGACCCTTATAAAGTTCATAATCACACATCTACACAGAGATGAGTCATTTTTTAGTCAATTCAGGCTTTTAAGAAACCTTTTTAGCTGCATGCTGAAATATTATATGGAACAAGAGGCGACTTTTGTTGTGATTTGGCGCTATATAAATAAAATAAAATTGAATTGAATTGAACAAAGTGCTGGGAAGCAACAAAAATCTTTTCTAAAATATGCCGATTTAAAAAAAATAAATGACAACACATCAATGACTAAATCCAACAAAGCATGATATATGAATTTTATTTTCCATAACATTGTGTTTTAGGAGAATTGTACATATAATTCATGGGTTGTTTTTTTCTTTTCTTTTTACACACAGTTCATTTTAAGCAGACTCAGTATCACAACATTGTCTTTTTTTTTTTCCTTTTTCTTTTTTTTTTGTGATGAAATTTTAAATTTCGTTACATTCCACAGATTTCCCTTTGGTTACTCAGACTCAGACCTCTGGGCATCCTGCCCCCATTTGTGAATTCCTGCCAATTAGTGTCGGTCATAAATAACATCAGACAAGCATGCACATTCACACAGCCTCTGGAACAGAAAACATTTATCATGACACAAGTAGTCAAGTGGCTACACACCTGAAATGTAACATAGCAACTGTCCTGCTTAATCTGGTGGTGTTTCACACCAAAAAAAGTAATAAAGCATTTAAAAAAAATTTTCACAAAAGCCATTTAGGACATTAAGATACACAGTCAGTTGCCACATTTAAATAGTTACAAACTGTTTATGAATTCTCCATCTTTTGCAGCACCTGGTCAGCATGAGCACAACTTCTTTTGTAAGACTGAAAAGATTTAGATGATTGAGTTCATCACTGCAGGCAGCAGACAAACGAAAAGTGTCTAATGAGCTGCAGACGATTAAGTGGCCACTGAGCGTAAAAGTTAATCAGTTGAAAAGCACTTGTGCTTTGCAAATATTTAATTATTGTTGTCGTAGTCACAGTTGTAAATGACACATATAGGGTTTCTTATATGTAAACAGTACAAAAGGTGCATACACAAGGTTTTTTCTCTCTCCCTTTCTGTGGTTTGATTTTTTTATGTCCTTTACAGGATACTGTAAGTGCATTCAGTTATGTTCCCAAGGCCTATCATTTTATTTTCCTCTTTGAGAAAGTGCTTTGCTTGTAATTTGAGCAGTCTTTCATCCTTTTCGGCTGGTGTTGTCATGCTCTTAAATAATCTATTAGTGACACACAGACACGCACTCACACACATGCAAAACTGAATGCTGTTTAAGAAATTTGTGCAGATCAAAATAAAAGACAGGAACAGTGACATCTCAGGGTTAACGTGTTCATCATGTGCCAATATCCCTCAATCAATAAAAACTTTATATGAGGCATAATGTGTCATGTAGGCTTGTAGCTCAGTGTTCGTGGATACCTTTTTTAATATTTGCTTGCCAGCCTGCTGCACAGCAGTCATTAAAAGGCTATGAAGGCTTAACGAGTAACGGATTTAATAAGTGTATTCACCATATGAGTGTTTCTCTCTGATTCATTTAATTTTATGAAATTTTGACTTCATCAAGTTATAATTTGGGAATATCTTGTGATCTGTGTAGTAGCCTGTAATTTGGAAACCCATCTGTTGAAAGATGTAAAGCGAATGAATGATGAATGTGTTTACACTGCCAAATGGGTGTTCGCTTTTTCAAATGCAAACTGGCACCTGGGCTCACGCTACAGATCACAATGTGGAAATGATCATTTAAAATGATTAGGACATTCCACTTTTACTAGAAAGTCAATAGTGCGTTAATATTGCGTACAGCATTTGGGGAAGGTGTGAGAGAGACTCCAACACCATACTGACAGACAGACAGTGTGTGTCATCTCATTTAGCACTGCACTCAAAGTGATTAGTTGCACACAGAAACCTTGGCTTTAATCTTCCAATGAAAAACAGAGTGACGATCTTCACTGTTTACTTTGCGTCTTCACTTTTTGAGGTAAATTTGTATGTAAATCATTCATAAGTAAGCCGAAAATAGCTTTTTCAATTCCAAAGTTGTGTGAGTCAGAATTTAAAATGTTGTTTTGATTCGTCTACAATTACACGTAGCACAATCGCACTGATAACTTCTGCTGGAACGCACCAATTTATTCCTTTTGCTGCAGCATCTCACCTGGTGCAAACACAGTCCAGCATGGTGATCAAAAAGTAGGATGCCTTTAATATAAGGCTCTAGGAATAGCTGTGCATTCAAGATAGTTATCTGTTACCATGCCAATGTAAAAACTCATCATACAATTTACATGATTTAAGAGGATTGATGAATCACCTTGCTGCCATGTGGTAAAGCCCGATGAGAAACTGCAGTATGGTGGCTGGTTTTAAAAGTAAAGCTGGTGAGGTTGTGCTGTAGGTGATGGAAAACAGCATTTTAATTACAGCAAACCATTAATTTATCAAGGAATGTGTAATATTTGGTGGCATGGAGAAATAGGCCCACACTGTGAGCGCAGGGAACATATATGAACAAAGCTACATAATTTTGCCCTAGTGTATACAAGACAAAGACACAAAGGAAAAAAAAAAGATAACACTTGTTCTTGTGTTTCAGCAATTTAGTCTCCTGCCTGAGGTCTGCATATGAACTTATGTGCAATGCTGCAGAGAAAACTTTCTATAGACAGCTGTCCTGAATACATAAAAAGAAGCAGTATGGAGGCAAACCAGGTTTGCTGAATGGGTTCATTATTAATAGACACTATGGCACTTGCCGTATAATATTTAAAAGTTTGACACGATTGTATTAACTATAAGGCAGTAGTTTTAAATTGAAGAAAAAACAAAAAGAAAAACTTTAGGGACTGAAGGTATTCTAAAAATGTCCCCCAGCAACATCATGATAAAGTGTATGTGCACATAACCCCCTTCACCTACATCCATTTCTTTGGTTTGAACTGAAGTCTTTAGCTCCCTCCAAGTGCATCTAAAACACTCTCCAGATTAGTTTTCTCTGTCAATACCAGCATCGCCTTTCTAGTTGTTGTTTTTACAACTTTCTCTTTCCTCCAGTGACCTGGGCACCACTTCTGCTTCCCTGATGGGGAAGTGACCTTCCCAATTCCTCTGTTCCCAAAGAAGCCGCACAGTCCCTCCATATGTTTTCCTTTCAAACACAAAATAATAAACCACTGCTATTCTTCCCCGCCTTCCCTTTTCTGCACCACATATTTCAGTGTTTGCTTTGAAATATTCCCTCTCTGTCTGTTAGGTTTACACTTCTGTCTTTGTGGTATAACTTTGAGCTCGGCATCTGTGAGCGTCTGGCTTTGCACACGTCAGCCTGTATAGGAACACATGAATGTGCACCAACAGTGCATTTACGTAAATGTCAGAGAAAAGCAGAAAAACAAATCTGTTACATTTTAATGCACATCTTATTTCACCATTCTTAGAATTTTTTAGTGATGCAATGTTCGTGTCAGTTACCTTAGAGGTTGTTTTAGATGCACTATAATGGGGTTAATGGGAAGAGATGATAAAAGTAATCCAATAATATAGTTATTATGTGGGGTTGTTGAGTTTCAAATATACATAAAAAACACATTTTAATACATCTCTGATAACATCATAGCACAGGTAAAAACAACACTAACACTAATTTACAAAATATCCCTTTGAAATGTCTTCAGACTCCCTCGTAAGGTAGCTAATGAACTGCAAATGTTTTGGACAACAAAACATATCACAAGAAAAATGTTCAGTAGGCACCCTGAGATGGGAAAACGGATATGAACAGAACTTACTCGGACATCTACGATGTATAAAACACTGTTTACTGATAAGAGGCAATGAGTGTCATCCTCCTGTCAAATTTACTACAAGCAAGTGACCCGCTCCTTACATTTCACTAATGTACTCTCATTGCTTCTCTTTGTTTTACTTTCCACAATGAAAGCATCGACGTGTATCCATGGTGAATTCAGCTTTTTTTTTTTAAATAAAAAATTATCACGAACAGCATTAATAAGCAAAGATACTAAATTACCTATTAAATGAAAAGCTAAAGCTTTGCATAAGTATTTCAGCATAAATAAACATATCACCACTACATCGTACTGCACAGCATATGATGTAGGAGGCAGAGGAACCTGAGCCCAGTCTAAACTGCTTGCTGCATTCGCAGGGCTTTAGCAGTGAAAGGAGAACAGCTTCATGAACTTGTTGTGTGTCTCAGTCTTTTTGTTATTATGCGGTCTAGAGAGCAGCAGTGCGGCAAATCAGAAATATACCATGACATCTTCTTGAAATATGGATGTGCTAAGGTTAGGAACTAGCTGAGTTAACTTAATACTGTTTTCAGATGCAACTTATGTTGGAGAACTTGGATTGGAGCGCACAGTGTGTTTTGAATTGCATAGGAAAGTGTCCACAGGGAACTGTCCATTTGCTGCACTTGGATATTTGATGAAACTGAATAAGTTATTGCATTGCACTTTTATTTCTGTAGATTCAGATGGATTTAATGCTGTGTGTACTGAGTTTCTACCTTAGCAAAAGTACAAAAGGTTCACTATAACATAATACCTGTAGTATCAAAACTGATTATGATGCAAAATGACCATTTCTGGTCACCTTATGTAATTTTTTTTATTTCACATTTATAGAACTTATAGAAATTTCTCTAATTTACAAGTATATGTTTGGGTCTTTTCTTCGGTATTACAAGAAGCCTAGATAGCCATATCACACCAACTATAGCAGATATGAAGCATAGCTTATTTGTTGAGTGACTGATTGGTTGAGCAGCATCAGCAGACACACAGGTATCCTCCACAAGCTACATCATGTGCACTAAAATAAAACAGATATGTCAATTAGCACATATTACATGGTTTGATGCTAGTTTTTCTCTCAACTTGTTTTGTGCCATCCATCACCTGAATTAATTTGTCATGTTTATTACTAAGATTTTGTTTCCTGTTGTTCGCAGTGCAAGAAGGTCAAACCAGGCAGTATTAAGTATTATGCTACTGCAGCATTTAGGCTTAGCACTTTCACCATATAAAACTCTATCAAACTGATATTATACTGTATATTATCAACAGTGAGACATCATTTCCTCTTGTACTAATCTGACGTTCAGGTGAGGCGAGTTTTACGATTTGAGGCTTCTGAAGTTACTAAAGACAAGTGTGTGGTTACCATTGCCACCCAGTTTGGTGAATTATGTCTTAAAGTCTACAGCAGCAGACATTAAAGGATATCACATTTTAGTAATGTGTCATTCAGATTGTTAGAGTAATAACAACATGAAACTGCAATACATGGCTTAGCTGTCAGATATAATCTCTAAAGGGTTTGCTCCATTGACGCAAATCACAGTTATTAAAACCCATCACTGGTAAAAACTCTGAGTTTAAATGATAGAATTCTTCATATCTTGATAAACTACAAGAAAACAAAGCCATGTCTTTCAGTTTCATTCATTACTTAATACTCTTTAGCTGCACAACTACCTGGATGTAACACAAAACAGGAATTAGCATTTAATAGGCTCAAGAATTCAGACTTCATTCTTTGTTTGTGCGATCTCTGACTGACTCGTTGTTATTGAGCGGCGGAGGCGGCGATTGCTTGCTCCTCATGCTCCTTCCGTCCGTGACGGCTCGTGAAGTCTCCGTCACGAAGAGCCGAGTCACCCAGACGGAGGTGACAATGCGTTTGTACTCATTCCTGAAATTTCGGTTCAGTAAGCCATAGATTATGGCGTTCAGACAGCTGTTGAAGTAGGCCATAAAGTAGCTGACTACAAAAAGCCACTCAGGGATACGAGGAGCCACGCGGGACGGATCAATCGCCACCGCCAAGCCAATCAGGTTAAGTGGAGCCCAGCAAATGGCAAACAACACAAATACCACAAACATGGTGATGAAATTCCGCAAGTCACTCGGTCTCAGGCGAGGGCTTTCTTCTGTCTTCACTTTACGACGCACCTGGACATGAAGAAAACATATTGGACATAATTGTAAATGATGTGAATGAAAAATTCTTTGCTGAGAATGCATTTTTATGAAGTGAGCTTTTTGAAGTGCAGACTTCCAGCTTTTATTCAAAGGGCTGTAACAAAAATATTGCATTAACAGATTAGTATTTACAGCCAATTTTATACAAGGTACCCCATTTTCAGAGGCTCAAAAGTAACTGGACAAACTAACATGATCTTAAAAGGAAGGATTATTTTTATTGCTCTATTGGGCTGAGATCAGGTGACCGACTTGGCCACTTAGAATATGCAATTTCTTTGCGAGACATCTCTATACCATACTGTGGTATGTTTCAGGTCATGAGCGCTTCCTTTCCTTCTCAATAGTACATCTTATTATTATTCTGGCACAAGTTAACCTTTTTATGCAGATGTTTTGTGGCCGTCTAATCTAGCATTCTTGTTCTGGAGTGTAATAAGTAGTTTGCATTTTGCTGTAAACCATCCGTATTTACATTTATGACAGTGTATTTTGATCACGGTTTGGAAGTGCTGCATCAAACTCTTTCTTGAGTCGGTTAGATATTATGAAGTTCTTCAATCATTCTATTTAAGTATGTGTCACATTGTTGATTTTTAACTGGTTTATTTATTTATTTTTATTTTTATTTCAAGGTTCAAGGTTCTTTATTTGTCACATGCATAGTTATACAAGCATAACACACAGTGAAATGTAGCCTGACACGCTCCTCGACATGTGCAAAAATTGG